GATCAGCTGGTTTGGTTGGTGGATCAATTGGGGCTATGAGAAGAAGAAGAAAAAAGAGAGATAAATAAGGTGAAGAGTGAGTAGAATAAGGGGAAAGATAATGAAAGATAGAGATGGATGTTAAGCAATTAGGAGACTTTAGTTAGTGCTAATACTTTTTATTTATAAGTTGCTCTGGTTTCTTGATCTGCAAATAAAAAGAGGAAGGTGATGTGTGTGTGAAAAAAAAGGGGGGGTGGGGGGGATTTTATTATCCTTTTGAATTATTTTGAGGAGACAATAGAAATTATTTAACAAGAGTAAATGGAGACAAGGAAGGGTAAAATGGGAAAATAACTAGATGCCATTGAAAAGGATATTATATTTATATTGAGATTTTAATATAAAGAAAAAAATTGTTGGAATTGGCACATGGAAGATGGAAGAAGAAGAAGCAAGTACAATCATCTGATTTTTTAAACTTTTTTTGTTGAGATGGAATATAATTGATGAGAAAAAAAATGTTCCCTCCGTTTCACAAAAAATGACTTCTTTTCCTTTTTAGTTAGTTTCAAAAAAATGACCTCTTTCCTTTTTTGGTAACATTTTACTTTTTGCTTTCCACGTGACATGTTTAAGACCACAAGATTAAGGACAATTTTGTACATTTGACATAACTATAATTTAGGACGACAAGATTCAAAAGTCTTCTTTAATTTCTTAAACTTCATGTCAAGTCAAACCAGACCAATCTTTTTGAAACGGAGGGAGTAAGAGATTTAAGGATTACTTAGGAGAAAAATAATTTGAGCATAAAATTGTGTATAATTAATTATATTAAAAAACATAGTATATCATATTTTACATATATATAAAAATTGACTTTAACTATCCTAACTATTCACCCACAATAGATGATTCCTAACTGATTTGAAATACAAATAAAATAATTTTAAAATTAAAATAGCATTAGCCAATTCTTATAATAATAATATGCAATTTTGGATAAAATATGAGTAATAGATACAGTTATTGAGATGGTTGAAATCTTGATATATTTAACTAAAGATTTTAGAGTTGAATCATAAAAATAAAAGGGAAAAAATTATTATGAGTCACACCCCATCCCCTCCCAAATAGACACTATAATGCAAAAATTCAAAATTTATTTGAGTTTCAATTTTAATATCGAATATTAACGGGACACAAAAAAAACACTTCCTCTGTTTAAAAAAAAAAGTTATCTACTTTTTTTTTAAAAAAAATCTTTCCTTTTTTTTATAACATTTTGATTTCAGTTTTCCACATGTTATATTTAAAACTATAAAATTAAAATGCATTTTATACATTTGAAATAACTTTAATATAGAAACATAAAATTAAAAAGTCATTCTAATTTTTTTAAATTTCATATTAAATCAAATTAAATCTCTTTTTTTTTCTAAACGGAAGGAGTAATAGTTATCCTTTGCCAGCCCCAATGGACAGTACCAAACAAATGATGAAAATGGGGTACCTTAGTACGTCCTCTATAATGTCCTCATATGTAGTACATACACTATCTTTCATTTTACATCTTCATTATATTTCCAAGTAAGAAAATCATCATCATTATTATATTGGAGAAACTAACATTTGGGGTCAATGGAGGAAAATATTTTTTAATTCTTTTTATCTTAACAGTTGAATAATTGATTTTTAATTTAATCGATTTCATAAAAAGAAATATATATATGTTCATATTGCTTCAAATTATTTTAATAGGATAATAACCAAATAATTTAATGGATGTGTACAAAAGGCTGCTTTCAATTTTATGGCGTTACATTGTCTCAATTTTTTGTTAATCCTATTTTCTTATTCTTTTGGGCGACGAAATCAACTTGTATTTAGAAGTCAAAAGTTTTGGATTTTTCTGCTAGCATTAAAATTTTAAGTAACTTTTATTCTTAAAAAATAAAATAATATGCAGGTCATATCTCCAATAACTTAATTGCCTTCAAAATCTCATGCTAAGATATTATTTAGAGTAAGCACAAGAAGAAAGAGGTTGACTTTTAATACGGGTCAGAAAGAGAACCATCTTGACCATTTTGACAATATATAACACGAAATGATATATTATTTGTTTGTAGAAAAAACTTACCATTGTTAAAGATAAAAAAAAGAGTAAATTATTCAGGCTGACACACATATATCTACTAACCTTCTAAGAAATTCAAGTTATAAAGATATGAAGAACTTATATTATTTTGTTCTTTCATAAATCCTGAATTTAAACTTAATACAATTTAAAAAAAAGCATGCCCTAAAAACTAACTTTTAAGGCTACGTTAACACATTGCAATATTGGTATAATATGACTCAAATCTCGTACCTTGTTAGAATAATAACAAATCATCAGTTTCCCCATTTGTCAACTTTGACGACTTCACATTGAATAACTTATAACAAACAACCACGCTCTTCATCTTCCATTCTCAACAACTCCACATTGGACAACTTATAATAAATCATAACATTTTGCATTTGTCATTCGATTCTCAACGACTCTAACTTGTACAACATTTACTCTATCACAAGTACTAGGTAGTCCTTTCCCAATCCCTAGCTAGGTAGCCATCTCTCGGTGTCACCATCCACGACATAAAAGCTAGTTTTTGAGATGGAAAGAACGCAAGACCATATATATAAACTTCATATCAATGTATTGAAAATAACCATGTTTTTTTGTGTATTTAAAAAATAGAATGTTTTTGGCACTTTAAGAAAGTAGTTGAATGAAAAAAGATTTCGACGACTTTGAAAACCAACGTGATTTGCTCAAATAATGTAAGTATCGTTTTTACACCATTTTTGATACATTAGAAAAAAGATGTCGGTGTGGAAATTGCAATGAAAGAAAGAGTCAAAAAGATTGAAAATGTCATAAAATCATTTATAGTAAAAGACAGATTATTCTTTTGTTTGTCTAACTAATTGGGTTTTGGTTTTGACTTTTGGGCAACTTCTTTGGTTTTTCTGTTTGGCCCTACCCCCCCACACCAAACAAAAAAAATGCTAATTTTTTGTGGAATTTTAACCTTAAATAATGACCACTTATAAAATTTCAAATTTTGTTGTGCACATTTAAAATCGTACAACAGAGTAAAATTGTCACTTACTATCATTTACAAATTGTTCCTAGTCTCTTACATATAAAAATGATATTTTAAAAGATAAAATCAAATCTCCCGATTCTAATATATCTTTTTAAAAATAACGAGTCTTACTTTCAAGAAATTGGATTAAATGAGATTAAAAAATGTCCAAAATCACGTCCTCTTTTTCATTGCTCAAGCCTCAACAATTACTTTTAGCCTTTTATCAAATGTATATCATGTTATTAGTCGTAAGTCATAAGTTATAAATAATTCTGATTATTATCAAATTATTTTATTTTCATATTCTTGGTGTCACTGTCCATTATATATGTACACATCTTTTGTCTCATCTGCCTATATTTATGTTTGATTTGTTAATACTCCATCCGTGCTAATAAATTAAGCTATACCACGTAAAGAAGTGATTAAAATAAGTTGGTAAGATCTAGTAATACGTAATTAATACTATAACCAATCAACTTAATTATTATAAGTTTTTATAATATACAACAATTGCTTAATGATGTTTCCTAATTATTCCACTGCCTTTTGTCGGAGATGTACGTTTTGAAGTCATGGGCCCCTGGCCTAACTTAGAATTAATTCTAATTTGTGAGTGTAAACCTGACATATTTCCACCGAGACCAAGTGTAAATACACATATTTTGTCTATAGTTATCTATAAGTGGTAAATATGTAATTATGAATTAAGTTAATTTTTCACCATGTGAAAGAAAAGGACAACATATGATTTTATAATTAATATATACGTCTAGTGTTCATTATAAGAAAAATTTAGTGACCTGGCAAAGTAAAAATTCACAACTATCATATTTGGACATCACTATTTGATTTGTATCAATTTTTGTGAAAGTTCTGCATGACTATTCATTTCGAAATAACTTAAAATATATGGTATCTAAAATTACACATAGCTAAATATCAAATATTTTTATTTGAAATTACAGTAAAATTGATCGGCGTCTTTAATCAAGCAAAAATTGTTGAACTTCAACTATAGATACTTGAATTTCAATCGTATGAAATTTCGAGAAAATGATCAAAATAGTCCTTCATGTATAGGGTTTGAATTATTTTGGTCCTTCATCTGTATCATCTCATCAAAATAGTCCTTAATATATATATAAAAAGTATCATTTTGGTCCTAGCCCTAAAAACTAACTAAAAACATAAAAAAAATGTTAAGTTTAGCTGTGGGTCCCACGCTCTTCTTCCTCCCTCTTTCTTCCCCTATTGCTTCTTCTTCATGTTCAATTTTTTTGAACATGAAGGAGAAGTAATGGGGAAGAAACATAAAAAAAAATTGTTAAGAGCCTCACTGTTCAAACCGATACTCTTAATTCTCACAAAATTAATATACACATGTAAAATCCATTTCTGTCGTATGCATGAAATTTAGGGGAAAATTGATGAAGATCCAGTATTATAACTTAAATTTCTGCATTGGAATTGATCTTGTATATAGGTGGAGAATCAGGAGAAAGATCTAGCAAGTACCAGAGGTCTCTGTCGATGCCGGCAAGTCCTCCGATGCCAGGTACACCGACGGTACGCAAAGAGAATGTATGGAGGAGTGTTTTTAACCCAGGGAGCAATTTAGCTACATGAAGGAAAAGCAATGAGGAAGAAAGAGGGAGGAAGAAGAGTGTGGGACCCACAGTTAAACTTAACAGATTTTTTTATGTTTTCAGTTAGTTTTTAGGGTTAGGATCAAAATGATATTTTTTATGTATACATTAAAGGACTATTTTGATGAGATGGTATAGATAAAGGACCAAAATAATTCAAATCCTATACATGAAGGATTATTTTGATCATTTTCTCTGAAATTTCAGTGTATTTGAAATTATTTTGAAAATGCTAGACTTCTATTTTTCTACACAATGGGCTTCTGGGCTTCAAATCAGCCCAATATCGATTGCATTGGCCCAAGACCTTTACCGGCAAAATTCGTCCCTTCTATTTTTGGCGCCAAGGCAGCTCCAGCGGAAATTGGCTCCGTCGATTTTGCCGCCGGAAATGTATTCAACCGCCCGCCAAACTACCCTAGTTGACTATAATCAACGTCATTCGCCGTCGACGACCTCCAAATCTTCCTTGCAACTAATTCACTCGCGTAGAATTGTATCTGTTTCTCTTTTCGCTAAAAATCATCACCTTCCCAATAGATGCCGGCGAATCCGTACCATATCCGGCAGACATTTATCTTCTCATTCATCGGAATCTTCAAGCGACTATGAAAATCCGCTTAGTTGTGATTCAACTCATAATGACTTTGTACTGCCGCCAGGTCCGTCATTTACAAACCTATATCCATCTTTATACATGTGTATCAGTGTATGCTAATCCTTTATTCTTAGTTTGTTTCATGTAGGTAAGCTGCTGTCCAGAAATGTAACATGGATTGGGGTTGCCACTATTACTAGCAAAGTTCTGGTGATTATTTCCTAGTATTTTTTCAAATGTACTTATTGTTAAACCTTTAAATTCTTCTCTCAAAAGTTTTGTTGTTTTCGGTTTTTTCAATTTTTGGTTATTTAGGGGTTATTGAGGGAAATTGTTATAGCTTCAGCTTTTGGCATTGGTCCTGTAGTAACTGCCTTCAGGTATGCCGTTTACCTGGCTTGAAATTTTTTCACCTTCCCCTGTTCATTCATTTCCCCATTCTCTTCTAATAGAACAAGAGAGTGTTCTATGTTCCCTAAAAAGTTTCTTTCCTCACCATTTTAGTCTGATTGGAGTGGTGCTGTAATTACAGGTATGCTTCGGTGCTGCCTGGTTTTGCTGCATCAGTTCTTGGTGGTGAGTAGAGAATAAAATAAAGTAGATGGTTTATCTATCCATAAGAGTATTGAGATACAAAACATAATAGCATTGTCTTTAGAGTTGGGTTCACTTTGTTTGTGTATGCATGATTATATTTTATTCTCTTTAGTCAAAACTTGGGTACAAGTAACAGCCATCTTTTCTATAAGCAGTGTGTTGTTACCAGCTGCAGACAATATATTTCTAAGGAAAAAGGGCAACTCATATATAAAAAGTTTGTTAGCTCACAAAATGCTTTATGTGTAGGAGATGATACGAACATTTTGATCACTGTCTCCTTACTTTATGCAGGTGTTAATGGCCCTATTCACATCACAATGACAACTACATTAAGGCTAGTTGCTATCTCTGTATCTGCTACTTTCTTGATTGCTAAAGCTGAATTCAGAGTGTTCTGCACTCTAACTGCTACAGAATTATGTTTACCAGGAGCCAAAGGCACCATATTCCTGTTGTCGCCATATTCATCTAAAACAGCAGGAAGGTTGCGATACTTGAATTTTATGTGTCGCTACTTGTGATAACCCAGGATTCCTTGTGCTGCAGCACCCACATAACATGACAAATTATGTAACAAAGAGTAAATCCTCTGGTCATTTACCTTCTTTCAACATTGAAGTTCTTCTGGATTAGACCTCGGAGACCAACAGGGTTAGTTAGATAAAGAGCTGAATATTGAATTTTTAGTCCTCTACATACATAAAACTTTAGTTTCTTTGTCGACGGGCATGTTTAATGCTTACCTAACTTGCTAATGAATGATTCTGTGGGTAGATGCATATCTTCAGACGTAAGTGCATGTGTTGTAGACAATGATATCTTGTCTTCTCTCATGATAACTAAATCTACCTGATATTAAGTATGAGTAGTGACACGTTCTGGACAAGGGGAAGCTATATGGTGACTTCCACATTGTCCCTTTTTTATCCTTTCTTTTAGTTGACCTTTATCTTCATTGCTACCTAAAGTTCTATAAAATTTTGAACCAACTTCAAAGACTTTTGAGCTACTTTCTCAGTAGTTAAGCTTTTCCATTTTACCCTGTGACTTTGTATGTGGGGATTTCAGAATCAGTTAAGGGAAAAAATTTAGACGAAAGGTATAAGATTAGTAAGCAAATGCTTGTGCTGTTCGGAGCATGATAAATAAAGTATTGATCGCCTCTTTATCAAGAGCGAGCTTGCTATGGAGGTTTGGAACCATTTTGATTGTCTTTTCAATAAAAGATCCTTCCAAATGGATTCCATTCAGTCCCGGCAGTTTAACAGATCTCGCAGGAAATCCCAAGATGGCTAGGTCACGTCTATGCTTGCTATTTTTCAGTTTGGGAACTCTGGAGGGAAGGCAATAGCAGTAAATTAGGAAGCCCAATATCTCAACCGGCTGCTATTATTCAAAAAATTACAGACTGTCTTGAGAACACATTTCTTACTTCTGACTTGCTTATAGAAAAAAACATTTCTTTACTTCTGTTTTTGATTGACACTGGTAAGAATATTAAAAAAACATTTCTTACTTCTCACTTATCACAACTGATGATCTTCAGTAAGCTTCCAGAGGATCGTCAGAAGAAGCTGTTTAAGCATGCAAATACCATCATGATCGTGGTGTGTGTATTCTCACTCTATTCTTAGTACCTTCTTGACTCATCTTTCATAGCTAAAAGATGTGTTAGCATTTAGCAACAAAGTGAATTTCATGCAGGTAGGAGGTCTGTTGGCTGCCCTAGTGCTCATATATTCTGAGTCTATTATTCATATATATGCACCAGGGTAAGACGGTCTAAATCCGATTTATTTATTTGCTATATAACTCGCAAAATAATAGGATTTAATGACCTGGTTTCCTAAACTGTATTTTTGCAATTTTGCTTCATTGATATTTTGAGATCTTAAATGGAATTTTTGTCTCAAAATAGTGTGAAACAACTCACGATGAAGGATGAACTGCCTCTCACAGGCTTTTGATTTCTACTTAGTCTTGACCTCTCTAGTCTCGTTTTCTATATTCAAAGATCTCTAGTGCCTTCTTCCAACATTTGATTCTTAATTTCCCTGCTCATGCCAAGTTGCAGGATCTTTATTTTGCCTTTGCTTCTCACTGAAGGTTGTTCCGCCAGTATTTTTTAAATTAACCTAGACCAGAAAATTCTTTTACTGACATTATTAGAATTTATATGCTTGTGATTTTCTCTTGCTGATTGCACTTCATTGATTCATTTTCAGTCTATGGACCTCAGCTGAAGGCCAGACAACAAGCCGAATAGCTATCCAACAGGTAATGAGTTTATTATTACGCAAAATTCAGCTTGAGTTTCGTCCTACCATTACTTATCTGGCCATGATTGTTTAGTCAATTATTTGTCTATTATCGCAGTTTTCTGTGACCTAAAATTAAATAAGTCCCTTTTGTATGCGTACTTCCTTTACTTTGTATCAACATGCCGATTGGAGCTTGTATTACTATTAGTCTTTGTTTCTGCAGTGGGTACTTTCTCCTTTCAGATTGGAGATCTTTACTATCTTAACTAAATTTCACATATTTTTCAGTTGAAATTAATGACTCCTTGCATAGTTTTAGCTGGCCCTGTTGGGCTTGGATTTGGTTATATGAGGTAAGATAATATTTAATGTTTTTCTATTTGCTTTTCCTCTTATTAGTTGTTCTTTGAGCACCTAAGAAAATATTTATATTTTTTTCACTCCAGTGCAAAAGGAGAAAATGTCTTTCCGGCTATTAGCCCCACCTTGTCTAGCTTGCTCCTGATTGCCAGTGTAAACTTCTAACTTGTCGTAGCCCCAGTATTATATCATTGAAATTAGTTCTTCTATATCTCGTAGTAGATTCTTCTAGACTCTGACATATAAATAGTTTTAATTTGTCATAGTGCCTCATTTACTCCTATAGCGGACAGCTGGATGCCTTTTGTTCTGGTAAAGTACTCTCACAGTTACTTACGTGATGTTACGTGAGAATGATTATAATTTAAGTTTTAGATTTTTTTGAATAGGCGGTATTCTTTTATCTTGCGGAGCTTCACTTGGAGTAGTCATTCAATGGATTATACAGGTCGCCATTGCTCACCTCCGACTCTTTGATACCCAGTTTTATTGTTTAGGGTTAAAAGACAACCTTTCCATGTTTTTCATATACTTGACATTTTATGCTTGAGTTTAGGTTCTATTGCTAAGAGGAACATGGCATGAAGTTATTTCAGAATCATGGACTGACGAATTGAAGAGCGGGGATATTTATGGCGTACACCTCATTGACCTTCCGCTTCGTTTTACATTCATTTCAATCAGTTCATTGCATTGATCACCGTTCCTTTTCTTTTTTCTTAGCTTTTCTCGATTCTGGTACCAGCAATATTCAATTCAGGCTTGGCACAAATAGCATCATTTACTGACCTCTGTTTCGCATCTCATTTTGCTGGTGCAGCTGCAGGTCTTTCATGTAAGTGAAAGTGATTTTCTATGGCAATGTCCATGCACAACTTTTTGACCTTTGTAATGAGAAGAAGGCCCAATAATTCCTCCTTGTTGAGGATATATACAACAACAACTATGCCTAAGTCCTAAATAAGTTGGGGTCGGCTATATGAATCCTCATTTTGTCATTAAAACACATATCATATCATCGTCATAATAAATAAAATAAAAATGAAAGAATAATCACTTTCTAATCTGAACTATTGAGACCAAAAACAAAATTGCAAGTTTTTTCTGAGTATGACATGTTTGAACATTGTCAAGTGGTGATGGTATTATGTAATTAACTGTCAAGTAGTATTATTAGCTTCTCTTTTGTCTGAAAGAATAACTTCCAAAATAGTGGAACAACCTTTTGAATCTTTTATCGATCTATGTGGAAGAATATCAGACTTTAGTGAGTGACAGTGAGACAAGTTTTTTAATGTTCCATGCAGGGCACTGGTTTTTCCATCCTTTTTACTGCATTGGAGCACTGTTATACCCTTTCCCTTTTCCCGTTTTCCTGTTGGTTCTTCTTTGTGGATGCCCTAATTCTCATTTCATTATTGATATTGTCAAAATTTCAGATGCTTTTCTTTTGGTCATGGCACCTTTGGGTTTACTCTCAAGCATTGTTATACTGCCTCTTTTGCCCACATTTTCAGGACTGATAAAGGTGCTCATATTTTGACTTTGTGACGATCAGTAACGCTATGTTGTTACTCTTACATTTGTATTTGTCTTCTAACTCCAGATTGTTGTGGCAGACAGAGTCATGGCCAACCCTAATAGAGAAGATAAACAGAGGTGTCCTGCTTTGCATGGTTAGGGTTTTTATCTTAGAAAACATGTTCATCTTGAATGTTAAGGGATGGATCAAATTCATAGTAATTCCTAGTAATGGTGCCACGTGGATCAACCTATCAATCAAGTACTATTCAATTCTAAACTAGTTGGAGTCAACTGTTTGAATTTTCTATATCCATTCCACTCTATTTGGACCATTTCAATAATGTAGTGTAGATATACAAACTAAATAGTTAGATTTTTCACCAACAAGCGAGTTAACAAGTGTACTTGGTTTCTGATTGTCTGACCGTTTTCCTGTTTTGATGCAGGTGGTTCTCTTGCCGATTATTTCTGTCATGAGTAGCTTAGCTGATCCTATCATCCATGTCTTGTTTGAGCGATATGCATTTGATTCTTCGGCAAGTGCTTTAGTTTCTTCTCTTTACCTTTTCTGTAAGTATTGATAACTTGTCAAATTAGGATGTCTGAATTATAATTTTACACTTCCTGAGTATTCTGGATGAGGCTCTTATAAATAAGAGCACATTTGTACTCGTGAGGGCTGAATCTATAGTTTCTTGACATATATATAAATTTATTTTTTGGTATAGATTCTCTTGGGTCACCATTCTTGATTGTCAGAGAATTGGTAGTTGCAGTGTTTTATGCCTTTGGAGATGGGCTGAGGCCTTTCCTGGTTAGTATTGGAGCCATTGCGCTAAATGCTATCTTGGATTGGTTCTTTGTTCACAGATTACACATTGGAGTGCAAGGATTGGTTAGTTACTTTACCTATTTTCTTGCAGTAAATGTAGTAGATAATATTCATGCTTAAACAAAATCTCATAGCTAATTGTACTTATGAAGGCACTTTCAACATCACTCACAGCTGCCTTGTCTCTCATTACTCTGATCCATCTTCTTCGAAGGAAGGTTGGAGGTAAAACGTAGAAGTATGACTGTCAGTCCAGCAAAGCAGTTTATCTTTTTACTCTGTTAAATGTAATTCTGGTTGTACTTTGCAGGGCTTTTCCTCCTTCATGAATTGATAAGTCCTGGTTTGTTTCTATGCTTCTGTTGTGTCATCTCAAGCTTTGTTTCGTCCTTCAGTTATGAAAATATCTCCAAAATTTTCCTCTCCGAGTTTATGACAAGGTTTGCCCTTTTTGCTTGGACCTGTGATATATGCCATGTGTATAATCATAATTTTGGTTATTCGTTCATATTGTAATCCAGGTTATCTAGGATCCAAGAACTCTACTGCATAGTATCAGCTGCTGCTCTTGGAATTATTGGCTTCTTTGCTCCTCTTGTGTTAGTATTATATTTTTCTAGATATAAGTTGGAGCATAATAATAACTTGAAATGAAAAGAAATGTTAATGCACAGTTCCTTAGTATTTGGTCCTAAACTACTTGTTCTATTCATTTAAGATTGAAGAATTCAAACAATTCAAAATTTTGATGCTCGTTGGAACATCATACCATTTAAATTGGCGTAATTTTCTGAGACAACCTCCCAATACGTTACAATTTTACTGATAGTGTCAAACATTTGAAGATTAACATATTCTGGCAATGCTCGTTGCCGTTGCCTGATTTTGCGGCATTAGCTGATGAGTCCACCACAGTTCCTTGTTTGCTTCTTGTCTTGCCTCTGCTGAAAATGGACACATCTACAACTAGAATTAGACGTTTTGTTAGAATTAATTTGTAGACACTCTTGATTCCTGTTGTTATATACTTTTGCATACATTTATCCCAGACTTGCCTGATCAGATGCATTTGGGATGATAATGGGTTGAATCTCAACAAATAAATACATTAAGGCTAGGTTTTCTCATTGTATCTATCTTGTGTAAGATCCAATAAAAGAATAAAGTATCATATTAATTTAGTACTATAATCTTCAAACAATTAAAATAACTACAATTTCACTACAATAATGCCAATACTAATCTTACTTCTCAAAGATGAGATTCAAAGAATAGACTACTCCAAGAATCTTTTCTAAGCGCCTGGTTCTTTGAAACACAACATCGTCCATTCCTCACTTCAGAAAGAAGCAAAATTGAGCAGAACAACACTCTCTTTTGGGAGCACGGGTTGAAATAATGAGTGAGATCTAGCAACAAGTTTAAACCAATCTCCATAATGAACAGGGACTATAGTAAAATCTTAGACCATATTATGGCCAAGCTTAGCGCCGTTTATAAATACAAGCCTTGAGCTCAGGCCAATTAATCTCTTTGTCTACTGAATTCTGTTTTTCCTGTTGAGAGAGAGAGACACAGACAATCAGCACATATTTCCAAGTCACAGAAGAATCATAAAAATTTATGCATCAAATCAAACCTTTTTCTTTAAGTAGAACAGCACAAACATTTTGTTAGAGAAATCCTGCAGAAACATAGACAAGCTTTAGAAGTTGTAGTAGATTTCATCAACTCATAACGAAAAGAATTGGAATAGACCTTTGACTCAATGGTAAACCCAAGCTCACAAATAGCTTTCAAAAAATTGTTTGGGTCTGCTCCTCCTGTAGTTGGATCAAGCCTGCTTTTAACTTCTGCTATCAAAAGCCACCCCCTGGAAACAACCATCCAACTCAGTTCATAAACTAAACTATCTGATGAAGATATGTATCTTACAACTTAAGCAAGTACTGCATGCCAACCTGGGTTTAAGAACTCTGAGTGCTTCCTGAAGAAAGCTTGGATAATCGGTTCCCATCAATGAAAGGCAAAAGATGGCCACATCAACTGACGAGGCCTCTAGAGGGGTCTGCCAAAAGGGCAGTATTAATTTAGAAAAATGTTCCTAATCATTATGTATTCAATATACTAAACTTAAAGGCAATTCAAACAGCAAGAAACTCTATTAGCAAGACTCCAAGCGAAGCCCATACATTTGACATGTCACAAGCAATGACTGAAGGATCATGTGCAACAAGATCCAAAGACCACACTTTGTTCTTCACACTTCTTGCCAGCCGTGCATCTCCTGAAATAGGTTGGACAATCAATGAGTCACACCACTGCAAAAGTGACCAACACATGAAATTTGTTGCTTCCTGATAATTTGAGACCCATACCACAGCCAAAGTCAGCAACAATTAATGAAGGGCTATGATCCTTTAGCCATTTTGTGATTATATTAACAGGTTTTTCTGGCCAATGTAACATTTGCTCCTGATACCCTGCATGATACTGACGAGCTAAGTATGGTTAAGAACACGAAGATACTACAGGGTGAGGGATACTTAACAAGAACTCAAGAAATACTCCAGGATATTTCATAAATTGCAAAGCAACCTGAAGTTGAATCAGACTCAGAAGTTGCAATCCATACAATTCTAGAAGGGGATATTATAAACCAGTCATCACACAGGGGTAGTTGTTGAAGACAGTAAAAATCTTATTAGGAGTGATTAGTCTGTTGATACGAACATGTGGTCAGGGAGAAAAATGAAGTAATTGCTCTTAGAAGCCATCGTTGATAACAAACTTAGTCTTTCAAACAGTTCCTATGAGGGATTACGTACAACTTGGTCTTCTGAACAGCCCCTCTCAAAATATTAACACCTTCGTTTCTATACAACTTTCATAAGTTCATTAAATATGCCAAACTATGATACTTTCTCTAAACTATTACTATCATAATATGTAAGTCAAATTAACATCTAATGTTCAGTCAAATACCAATAATAAAGTCACTGTAAGAGGCTAAGATTCCTTATTGAACAAAGTAATATTGGATAGAGGGGGTGCAATGATCCTTTGTTTTAACTTCTCATCCTCTTTTTGTTCTCACCGATCAAATGCAAAACCCTTACTACTCATCCAAAGCCACCTCCTTCCATTTTTTGATGAAACGTTATATACATTACGGATCTTATCTAACTTAGTGGTAAGGTTAATACGTATGCAATTGGGCCAGCTCTATCAAGTACTTCATAAGGCCCAACGTTTCGAGAACTAAGTTTCCCTTTCTGACCAAATCTCATAATTTTCTTCCCCGGAGAAACCTTTAAAAATACCATATCACTCACTTGATATTCAATTTCAAGTCTCTTAATATCAGCATAGGACAGTTTATCTATCTGAAGACCTTGTTAATTTTTACTTTGTTTTCAGCTTGTTACACAATTTCAGGACCTAAAAGTTTGTTTTTTCCCACTAAATCTCTTGCAATCAAGTTCAGTCTAAAGCAATCTCAAATCTAAGAAACTTGAGTTATCACGTTCAAGTAGAAGTACAAAAAATATTGGAGAACATGATTCTTACCACATTAAAAAGTTCAGGATTTTCCTTGAAATAATTGAGCGCCTCATCTCCACTGGATTTTAAAAAAATAACAAAAAACAAAGCAATTACGACACACAATTCGGAACATATTATTCAGCAAAAAAATTGCAGCAACTTGGGAAGAAGGTAGACGTACGAGCAAGTGTAGAGTTTTTCATTAAGCATACGGAAGTGTCCTCCTGATAATCTCGCCTTCATCTGCGTTAACTCCACAAGTATCAAAATCTATTTGTACAAATACGAACATATATAAGGAGAAATATAATTAGAACCTTATCGAGAAAAGACAAAGGTTTCTTAGTTTTTGAGATCGCCACATTCGAAACCATAGACTGATTCACGCCGGAGACCTTCGAAGGATCGTCTCCGGCCTGAGTAGTAGACTTCTTATGAACCTTTCCTCTCTTCCGTTTACGACTCCGCTTTGCTTCTTTCATCTCCTCTGAAGTTTCTCTCTTCTGCTTCTACTGCTGTTGCTGTTGCTGTTGCTGTTGAGTTTAGGGATAGTTACTAACGGGCTTTAAGTTTATTTTGGGCCGGTGAATCTATGGCCCAACGCATACACAGTATCTCTTTTAAGTATTTTGGGCCGGTGAATCTATGGCCCAACGCCTACACAGTATCTCTTTTAAGTTTATTTTGGGCCGGTGAATATATGGCCCAACGCCTACACAGTATCTCTTTAGAATTTAGTCAATTCATCAGACTAGTTCCATTTTACACCCAAATTTTCCAATATAGCTTGCTTGGTGTTTCTTCATTCGAAAATTCATCCATGATTAATTTTCCATATAAGTTTGTATATAATTTAACTTTACTAATCACCCATGTGAAAAACTTTACAAATTTATATGTATATATTTTTGAACCAAATATAATCCATCTTTTTAGTCCAATTAAATATTTTTTAAAAAAAATCAATTGAGGTTGTATATATAAAAATGAGACTTTTGTCCTGTTTAATTGATTCATAGATCAGAAAACAAGTGTTTTTTGCCTCATTGTTTGAATGTGTCTTACTATAGTTAGGTTGTTAATTCTGTTGATTCGCTCCTGATATTAAATTGAATAATATTGTTCTCATAACAAATAAATTAAAAGAGTAGAACAATAAAACAAGAGATTAATAAAATCTGAAAACCACATTGAGAGAGATCATCAATGAATACATATAAGCCAAAACAAGTACTTAATATTAAAAAGTACAATTATTTATGTGACAAAAAAGGAGAAAAAGTTTTTTTTTGTTAAAATACACAAGCCAATGCCCATTCTCCAAAGGGAGGTTGCATTTGAGTTAACTTGCATTCATTGCAAACCCAGCCATCATTGCAATCACTATCAACATTGCAACTCTTTCCACAAGTTACTATATCTGTGAGAGAAACTAACTTTTTTTTCATCAACATATTTGGTGCCATCTCTTCAAACCCCATCACTGCATATCAAAATTTTACCCAAGAATATCAAATCATTAGTAGTAGAGAAAATGGTCAAATACCCATCCAATCTATATTTGAATTTTTAACTACACACTTATACCCCACGGGGGTCCTATTACCCCCAAAACTATTTTAAAATGGATTAAATACCCCTTAAAACGTGATAACCAGCCATCTGCCTTGTGGTGAGGCACAAACGCTGACACGTGTGTTTCACCAATTAAACTTTTTTTAAAAAGCTTTCTCTCCTTCTTCTTCATCCTTTCTTCATCAATCTTTTTGCAGCCCTAATTTTTTTTTTGTGAAAGCTTGATTTGGAGAAACTATTAGGGGATACATTGTGGGTTTTCTTTTATTTATTTTTATCTTCCTCACAAGATAAATACTTGAATAACATGCTTTAATTTGAACACTTTTGTTTTGATATTCTAATTGATGATTGATTTAATTTGTCAGAGAAAATTCGATGATGATGGCGGCGGCAAGTTAGGGATGAAAATAGTGGAAGCATACTCTTGACTCTTGAAATAAACCCAGGTTAAGTGGAAATAGTGAAAGAGTACCTAGACTCTTGAAATAAACCCAGATCATTTTTTCTCAAATTTGATCCAAAATCTTTTGGGATGATATAAATATATATAAATATATCTACAGTTTATTTGGGTTGATTGATTTTGTAAGAGTATTACATGAGTTTAAAAATTTGTTTGGAATGAACAATAAAGAATTCGGTAAAAATGGTGGTGGCAACACCTGTTTAGAGGTGGTGAATGATGGAGAGATTTGTTTTATATTGCTATGGAGAAGAAAGAAAATAAATAAGAAAAATAACTAATTAAAAATACATATATTTATTGAAAAAATATATTAAAAATAAAGTTTTAGTAATAGTTTATTATGTTCACTCTCTTTGAGAGAGTGAAATACACTCACATTGCCAACTAAGCATTTAGGGAGATAATTATTACAATTATAAACAGTTCAGGTGGGTGATAGGATTCCCGTAAAGTTAAAGTGTGTAGTTAAAAATTCGGATATAGATTAGGGGGGCTTTTGACCATTTTCTCTTAATAGTATAATATAAACTTGAAAAAATATGATCTCTATGCACCCATTTGACTTGACAGAAAGTTTAAGATTTTCTTTTTTTGTTTTGAAATTTGTAATTTAAAACACTCCTGAAATGTGACAATTCTTTCTTAGACAAACTAAAACAGAAAGTGTGTCACATAAATTGAGATAGAAGTAGTACATAATAAATAACACATATATGTTGCTCATTAATATTTGTTGTACTCTTATTTGATTCTCAAAAGAATGCGCTACTTTCAAAAGATTTGACACTTATTAATTGATATTTTTGAAGAATCCAAACATAACATTAGATATGTTTATCTTGTTAAAATTTGAAAGAGATAAAGAGAAAGATTGATATATATATATATATAGCTAGTCACATACCAGAAGTTGCTAGGAGGAGAATGGTGAAAGAGAAGCAAACATATTTTAGCAATTCTTGTCCACTAGCCATACTAACACAACTTTAATTTGGATTACTAGAGAATGGAAGAGGGTATTTATAGTTATTTTAGCAAGACTCATATATTTTAGTACTAATTAATTTGAAGTTTTTGGGACAACTTGTTTCAATTTTTTAACAATTTAGCTCCCTATTATCAGGATTCATGAACATGTCACTGAAATTGATGATCATGCCACTAGTAGGTCATTACATCAGGTCAATATTTAAATAAATAATTATTATTTTTTTAAAAAAATTAATGTCAAGACCTTTTATTTTCTAGTTGGTTAGTTTTTTGGGATCTCACTTGATAAATTTTTTCCACAATATATAAGAACTAAGAAGATATAATATAATTTCATTTCTTGACTTTTACCAACAATTAGAGTGTGATTAGAAGCCATTCTTTTTAACGTATTCCCCATAATTGATAAGTAATCGTGATTACTCTTTTAATTATTCTCATTTCTTGAATTTAGGAGCAATTGACCATGATTATTACAAGTTATTCTTATTTAATTATTTCTCATTCAGAAGGAATCCTGATTCAATTTCTTAATCTCATTTCTCGACTTTGTAGAGCAGTTGACTTGCTAGGTCTTTTTTCTTTAACCAAAAAAATTATGACTTGTTAAGCCTTTTTTCTTTAATCAAAAAAATAATGACTTGTTATTAATCAACTACTGTCTACCGTGTATTCTTTTGGAGGCAAAATTCGATTAAATTTGTACTTATTTTATATTTAAGTAACTGAAAATTAAAAAATACTTACCAGGCTAAATGTAATTTGATTGAACGGTTTATCTCCTGGGACTTATGAGATCACCGGAAATTGTGTTGAAGGTCGTCGGAGTATGTAGAACAACCAATTTTCTCACTCAATTGCATTCTTTAACTATCAGAACTTACGACACTCACTTGGCTGCAAAAATAACCGAGTTATATTTCGAGTTGTTACCTCTTCAAACTGCGCGTAAGCTGTTTGATGAAATTCCTCACCCAAATCTATACACCTGCAATCGCATTCTGCAACGCTTCTGTGGAAAGAACCGATATGAGGAAGTATCATCTCTGTTTACGTCTATGTTTTCATTCGAAAAGGTTGATCATTTTACTCTACTCTTTGCATTAAAGGCGTGTTCTGCATTAAAAGCAACAAATTTTGGCAAAACAATTCATGGGTTGGGGAAGAAATATGGTATGATTCATTCAAACATGTTTCTTGGATCAGGCCTCATTGACATGTACTCGAAATGTGGAAATATGGACGATGCTTTTCGCGCCTTTGAGGAATATTCAAAACCGGATATTGTTTTATGGACTACTCTGGTTACTGGATATGAGAAGAACTTTAAGCCTGATGTAGCACTAGCTGTTTTTACTGGAATGGCGATGGCGCATTGCATTAGTTCAGACCCAATAACTCTTGTTACTGTTGTCTCTGCTTGTACTCAGTTGTTGAATTTGAAAGCTGGAAAAAGTGTTCATGCACACGTGTTTCGAATGGGTTATGAAGGTTCCCTCTCTTTATCAAACGCTCTGCTGAACTTATATGCGAAATCTGGGTCCATGTTTTATGCAGGAAATTGGTTTAGGGTGATGGAGGAGAAAGATGTAATCTCATGGAGTTGTATTATCTCCTGTTGTGCTCATAATGATGCTACTGATAGAGCTATAAGTCTATTTGATGAGATGATTTATAAAGGAATTGAACCCAACTCCGTAAGTGTAATCAGTGCTTTGCAAGCGTGTGAATCTTGTTGTAATTTAGACAAAGGCAGGCAAATACATGAATTAGCTTTTCATAAAAGTCTTGAACTTGATAAATTGGTCTCCACTGCTTTGATTGATATGTACATGAGCTGTTGTTCACCTCAGGAAGCGATTATCGTATTTGACAGGATGCCCAGCAAAGATCCTGTTTCTTGGTTTGCTCTGTTATGTGGTTGTGTTAAAAATGGAATGGCCAACAAGTCTATGCAAATATTTTGTGACATGATGGCCAGCGATATCCAACCTGATGCTACTGTGATGGTTAAAATTCTTGGAGCTTGTTCTGAGTTGGGGGTTCTTCAATTGACTTCTTGTCTTCATAGTTATGTAATTAGAGGTGGGTTCATCAGCAATTCGTTCATCGGAGCTTCAGTTATTGACTGTTACGCAAAATGTGGTAGCTTGGATGAGGCTATCAAGGTTTTTGAGAGATCAACAGATAAAGATGTTGTTATCTGGAGCTCCATGTTTGCAGGCTACGGAATTCATGGGCAAGCTAGGGAATCAATTAAGTTATTTCATCGTATGGTTACAGATTCCACGGTATGTCCTAACAAAGTTACCTTCCTTTCAATATTAGCAGCTTGTAGTCATGCAGGTTTTGTTGAGGAAGGGATTGAATTCTTCAACATAATGTTAAATGAGTACCAACTGATGCCAGAATCAAAGCATTATGCAATCATTGTTGATCTACTTGGACGAATCGGAGAATTGGACAAGGCTATGTGCCTCATTAACCAAATGCAGTCACGGGTTGGAGCACACGTATGGGGGGCCTTGCTTGGTGCTTGCAGGATTCATCAGAATGCAGAGATTGGAGAAGTCGCTGCCAGGAATGTTCTCCAGTTAGATCCAGATCATGCTGGATATTACATCCTGTTATCAAATGTGTATGCTGTTGATGGGAAGTGGGATGATGCAGCTGAACTTAGAGGTTCAATTAAAGAGAGAGAATTGAAAAAGATAACTGGCCAAAGTGTTGTTAGACTTTAGGAATGAGGCTCACGTCGTTTTACACAACGGTGGATATCACAGGGACGTAAGAGCATATCTATGGTCCTAATTCAAACATTCTGCTGCATATAGTTCTGAAGTTTGATACATAAAGACATCTGTGATTTGAACTCAAAACCTCAACTGTTAAGAGGACGAAATCTATGTCAAACATTTCTTAGGTTGCATCGATGAAGTAAAGACACCAAATATATCGCTACTGCTTGATAGCTCTGACTTTTTTCCATGGTGGTCAAAGGGAGCAGGCTGAAAAGACAATTATATCACCCGGTTTCACAAGAAGAAAAAAGCAAAAACTGCCCAAAACACATCACATAAAATCACCGTTGACTCCAAAGCAAGAGAAGTAAAAACTATCATTCTACATGTAGCAATCAGTTGGCACTTCATATTTATCAGCCCCTCTAGTTCTTACTGGGAACGAGCAAAGGAGCTCATCTCCATAGTCGAATTACAAATCGCATTTAATTCTCTCAATATACCAAATATGTATGCATTTTCAGTGTCCGAGATTATCTCGAACATTATTACCTTTCTACAAAACCTAGATACCCGAAAACTCTTGAGCACAAAGTTTGTCCTGAGTTAACATGCTTCACCGTGACTTCTTGTAAAAGCCATAAGCCACAGCGACAACTGCCACTGCTCCAACCACACCTACAGCTGCGAGTATTTCACGCTGCTCCCATTTGCCGAACCAGTTTGAAACTGTTCCCTGCCCTTTCTTGTTCTCTTTCTGCTCAGCACTTGCATCTCTACAACAAGAAACTCCCGCAGCACCTTGGCAACAGCTGAAACTAGTTACACTACTCTCCTGACTTCCATTTTCAAGAGGCTTCTTTTCTTCATTGGTTACTTCAGGAACCTTCTGTTCATCCACTTTATCAGTTACCTTCTCATATTGTCCCATTTGGCCCCTACAGTAGATCAGAGTAGAGTTGTATCACATCTGTGATAACAGCAATTTAAAAAATAAAAGCAACATATCAATTTTCGCAGCAGTGCTGAAGACGTTTCCTCCATCCGTAAAATTTTAGAGGTCAAAGAAGCATATGATGTAGGCCAACCAAACCATCAAATCTAGCAAATAGTGACCCCATTGAGGCAATTAATCCTAATAAAGGGGTATGGCTTCCCCCAAGCAGTCCTCATAGAAACTAATCCAACCATTATGGAGACAGATCCAGATATAGCCTCAATCAAGGACTAGTTGACTGTTTAAACATAATGAATTCTTACTAAGAGACAAATAATTAAGAATTAACAAGTTTCCCTCCTGATCAAATAAAGATGATGAGATGCGGAGAAAGGAATAAACTCCGAGTTTCTGAAATTTAGTGGCCCATTATATGAGATATATAATATAATACTTTCAACATACAACATCCATTTGACCCTTCGGGGTGGCCCAGTGATTTGGGCTTGGGACTTCCATGTTGGAGGTCTCAAGTTTGAAACCCCTTGCCAGCGAAAGCAAGGGGTTTGCCTTTTGGAGAGCTCGTCGCACCGGGCTTGCCTAGTGCGGGTTACCTCTCCTATGTGATTTGCGAGCTATTGCATAGGAGCGGGGTTTTTACCTTGTGCGCACCCAAAGGATAGTGGCTACGGGTTTCCCTTGTCATCAAAAAAAAAAAAACATACAACATCCATTTGATTTTTTATAAGGTAAATAATTTTATTAGTAATGGAAAAATCTCCCCACACAATTTCCAACCGATAACACTCTTAACCCAAGAATATGTTCTTTCTGCAATGGGAGCGGGATCACCTTGCCACTAGACCAAATAGTATGGAAAGAAATCAAACTTTGCCATGCTATGAGATAATCAGATAGCAAAAGTAAAGGAGATTTTTTTAAACAACAGACCAACCAACTCTCTACCTGTCTTAAAATCGATGCTAAGCATAGGCACCCAACACCAACCAAATAACTAGGGACAAACAAACACAGATCCAGATAACAAGGGATCCATCATCTTCTGATACCTCCATTATGCACTCACTGTTAACAAGCATTTCTTCATCCTAATTTTATAAGAGACAACCTTTTGTTACTTAATTAGTAGTAAGAGGAGTAAGTGAGTGATAATAAATTAAATAAGTATAACATTGTTCCCATCCTAAACCTGTAAGGAAAAGAAAGCAACGGTTGCTCCCTCAAAATGAAAGGATAGACAAAAATGGCATAGGAATAAGCACAATTGCAGTTAAAGTGTATGTTGAGCACAATCTCATAGTTGAAGAGTAATATATACATCTACCTAGAATTAAAACCATGGAAAACATCAAGATACTTCCTCATGATTAAGCCGTGCCATGAAGCAAAACAGCACTGAAGCATGCAAAAGAAAAACAAAGGAGAGGACAACCAATACAAACCTCCAAAGTCGTTCAATGACTTTTCCCTCTCCAATATGCTCATCAAGCAAAGCAGGTACATCACTTGGCGTAACATAGCCATACCTGCATTACCACAACATAGAGCACATTTAACATGTATGTAATGGACAGTCTAAGGCAAAGTTTCTTTATTGATCTTTGATATGCTGCTTGGAATGTGTGTTTTTCTTTGCAAAATCATTTTCTAGGTAGGCTTAAATTGTTCAACATCTTCTCACAACGAAAATGTTTTGCACTGAATGGAGAAAATGACCATTCCTTTAATGTATCACAACTCTTACTTTATTGCACTTGCTTCAACCAATATGTAACTAATGGAGTCAATATTTAGCACTCGAAAATATCACCCACCCACATGACCCATCTCCCACCTTCCATCTCCTTTATCAGTATATAATAGTTTGCAAGGTAAGAGATTTTAAAAATAAATTTATCTTCATGAAAATAACATTTTCAATCATGCTACCGTTGTTAGATTACAAATTGATCTATGGTGAGATTCCAGGTCTTCCTTTGAAAAATATGACTTACCAGTGGCCAACAATACCTCCATCCTTTCCTGAGCTGAAGATTATAACATTACCAGCATACTTGTGGCCACCAATATGAGAACAAGCTGCCACACGAACTTTGTCTTTCAAGCCCTTGGACTCAATGAGCTTGCTAAATTCCTCAATTAGAATAGGTCCGCAAACACCACATCTTCGATCACGAAGATTGTGGGCACAGATAAACACATAAGAACCACTCAGCGACTCCTGCAATCCAGAGCTCCAAGGATTGCCATTGACAAGCACATCATCAACAAATGCATCCACATCTGACTCCTTCAAATCCCTTCATCATAAAAACAAGGCTTCAATGCAAACCATGAGACTCAACAGATCCGGACGAATCCGACAATGCATACACGTTTAGATCGACATTTTGAAGCTACCAAAGAGAAAGCATGTAAACTAAAAAGCAACTTCAGTGTGGTATCTACAAACCGTTTTCTTCTAAAATATCAGAAAGCTTGGATCCAGCTAATAGAATCAAGTCAAATTCATGGATCTTATTTGTCATTTTCTTGTTTAAAATTGAGTTATTTTGTCAGCCGTGCCCAATGCATGGAATATCAGCTTTGTGCCGCTCAATGCCAAATTTTATTTTAGAATAAATGAATAAACAAATAAACTACCTGTATTTGATCATTTCAGGAAAAATCAGAATATCACCTTCTGATACTTCCATGTCATCACGTACTTCGCATATTGTCAAAAGAGTCTACAGCAAACAATCACCGGGGAAAAATCAATCAATATCAACCAATCAACTAAACCTCAATATTAAATCAGTTGGATTCACTCCAGAAATAATTACAAAAGCAGAAAATTATTCCAGTGACAACATATTACCTTTAATTCGTTCTAGACATTAGCACATAAAGACGCAGTAATCACAACAATGAAGTTTCTCCTAGCATTTATTGACAAAAACAATCAGTTATAGAAAACCTAACCTTGATTTTGATATCATCTTTGCGAGCTTTAAGAGCAGCAGAGAATGACTTGGGAAGCAGATCGGAGTCAGAAGCTTCAAGGCGAGCAGGCCAAGTCTCGTGAGACTTGTAACAGAGGAACAGATGACGATCATAGGAGGTCGCAGTGCCTGCAAGTTTACTCTGATACATCTCCGAACGCTGAAACCCAAACTTGACATCCTCGTTGGCGTTGCCGGCGTCGGCAGTAGCGTCGGTGGAGAAGTTCTCCGGTGTTCCGGCCATGGCGTTAACTAGGGATCGCGCAGATAAGCGAGTGAAGGGTTTTGGAGAGAAGTGCAAGCAAAATGTGATTGAGGAGGAGAGAGGATTTAAAGGCATGGGAAGCCTAACAAGGCACACCCGCCACTGATTTGGAAGAAATGATATTTTGACCACGACCAATTTTCCAGCAAAATAACAGGAAAAAAAATTAAATACTATATTTACTCCAAATCACCCATCAATTAAATAGTACTGTACTATATGTTTTCAAATATAAATATGAAAATCAATTAAATTTACTTGATGGTATAAAAGAAATACACTATGATCCCAGATAAGTTATTCAATTTATTTTCATCTTTCTTATGTGACATTTGAAGAAAATTAATGGGATTGGTGAAGAACGACTCCATTTCTAAATACAAAGTATGTGAGAATATTGACTTGTCGTTAAGGAATTTCCAAGTTGAAAATTCATCAAAATTGTTTTCACGTTGAAAAATCACTTTTTAGTAATTTGTTTATGAAAATGGTCCAACTGTAAACTTTGGGGGACCAAAGGTGCCAAATTCATTTGCTTTAATAAACTTTCTTTGAGTTATGTTTGACCAAAATCTATGTATACATTTTCTTTAATTAATCCAAAAACCATATAGTCAATCCCAACTTGTTACGCATTTGCAGTTCCATCTAATACTCCCAATCGCCATCAACTTTTTAAATGACTGGATTATGGCACATCAACTTTTGATTCTTCAATTGAAAATTTTAAAACATCACATCCAGCAATACCTAGCTTTATAGCCACATCAAGGCCTTCTTCATTAATATCAACAACATACTTATACAAGGAAAAATGGCCTTCAACATCTAATTCCTATGCATCTTGCATTTCAACAGAGTATGCACTTTACATTAGCATAAAGGAACACAAAAACAGTGTTTTCCTAAACGTTGAGCTCTTCGTATAAGGGCAGTGAGGGCATTGCTGCCAAGGAAAAGAATTCCTCAGAAGAAATCAATCTCAAAATAATTACCTGAAGGCTTCACATCAACTCCGGGGGTCTTTCCTGCTGGCGGTGTACGGGGCATATTATATGTCATGGAGGACGGCTTTGGTACATCTGGAGGACTGGTACATCTTATAAGTGCCCAGTTCACATTCTGAAAGAAAGGATGTTGTTTTATTTCAGTAGCCCCTCGCCTATATGCAAGGCGATGTTGTGGCTCCTTCACAAGTAGGCCTCTTATCAAGTCCCTTGCTGCAAAACTAACACTAGGTGTTTCAGGAAATTTCAAGGGCTGACCGACAACGTTAAACAACGTTGCCCTGTTGCCTGCTCCCTTGAAAGGAGTTTGTCCAAACAAGAGTTCATAGAGAAAGATCCCAAATGTCCACCAATCTACAGCACTGCCG